ATCTTGATTTACGCGTTTCTATCTATCCGAATGATCTTACTTCAAAGGTCTTTATGAGCAAGTCACTAGTTAGGCTTAGGATAGAATCTCAAAAATACTGGCATTGATGTGGAACATGTTTTTCTTCCAAAGCTTAAGACTCTCTATCTTGATTCAATTATGTTAGTGTCAGAAAAAACTGATGATTGCATTGACAAGCTTGTTTCTGGATGTCATGTCCTTGAGGAATTAGTTCTGATTAATGTCTACTCTTATTCTTGGAACTGCTCTGTATCTTCCAAAACCCTTAAAAGACTAAGGCTACTAGAACTACACGATGATCATAAACCAGATAGTGTTTCATTTGACATTTGATCAGAGTTCACATGCAAGCTATGGAGATTTGGTTGTCAATGCAACAGATTTTCTTATTGGGGCATGCAATGTCCAAATCCTTCACTTATCTGCCATGACTCTCGCGGTATATTATTGTAATGATTATTTTGAGTTAGTGGTTCCATACTTATAATGGTGATCTAGTTGATTTGTTTTCTTGCTTCAGGTACTTACTTATTGCTGTGAATCAATACCTGTATTCAACAACCTGATTCATTTAACTATTAAGACTCACTGGAAAGTAGGATGAGAATCATTGCCGACTCTACTCAAGAACTGTCCAAATCTAGAAACCCTTGTCTTCGAAGGACCAACATAAATCCTCTACTACTTCTACTAAACAAACTTTCTAAGACAATTCGATTTTGAAAGTTGTTACCATTATGATTCAGGGATACAATCACAAAAGTACAATCAAGTGTGTGGATGTCGACGGGTGCATATGAAAATCTTCAGCGGAAAGTCCCACTTGCTTATCATCAAGTCCGGTGAAGGTTCTAAAGGTATTGAAGTTTGGTGAAATTTTTGATGACAAGAAGATGCAGATGGAGCTGGTCGAACACTTCCTGGGACAATGCCGAAACTCGAACAAATGATATTGTACTACGATACACCACTTGATGAAGATGTGATTGAAGTTTCCAAGCAGCTTGAGATGCTTCCTAGAGTAGCTTCAGCCAATTGCAAGATCCAAATAATCTCTGACAACCTCAGCGTATCCTCTTCCTTATCCACAAGTGGACTCAACTTCTTCGAAAATACTTTTCCGGTTTGAAGATCAACATTGTTTTGGTTCTAGTTTTAAGCTTAAGCAACAGCGACAAAAATGTTACTTTTGGCCTATATGTTTTGTTGTTGCGCCTAACTTGTTCAGATTCTTAATATGCATTCCACTTTTTCCATGTATATACACTTATGTTCTCTATAGGTTTCCAAGTTATTAATTCGTTCCACAGTGAGACAGAGCTGACAAAAAGTAACACAATTAATTTAAGGAATTGTTTATTTTTATAGAAGTTTTATTTATTATTTTAGACAACAATTTATAGAAGTTTTCTTGTAAAAAGATATGAAAATCAAGTTCAAAAATATTATTAATCATTTCACACAAGAACGGAAAAATTTTCAACCATAAGAGGTGAAAGATTATGCCCTCCCACATGGGAGTCCATTCAACATTAAGATTGTCACATGCCAAAAACAAATTTGGCTAAAGAAAAAAAACAAATATGGGTTCTTACGAAAAGGACGAAATCATGAAAAGGGCCTAGAAATATTAATATATTTATTTCTTAGTTAGAAAATTCATTTTTTTGTCCACAATTACAAATTCATATTTTATCCACAAAGAAGTCTAACTCGTTTATTCTGAAATGTACACATTATATTGTTAATCATGGTATACTTTAACAATGATATTTTTGTAAGAAAATTTTTTGTATGTTTAAGTTTCATCACAGAATACTAGATATTTTCTTTGTGTTTCTGATATGTATTTAAAGTTTTAAACTATATATGTTGTCTTACTAACAACACATTGAAAATGATATTTCAAGAGCCAATTACGTCCGAGTTCCATATTGCGGAAGAGATTTTAACGATAGAAACAAAATTAAAAGTATTTGTTTAATTAGTATTCGTTATATCTCTTTCAAAATGTATATAAAAACGAGAAAAGTAAGTGGAAGCAGGGCCGGCCCGCAGGACAGGCTACCCAAGCGGTGGCTTGGGGCACCACAATTTTTTTTTTTTTTATAAGGTTTTTTTTTTTTTTTTTTTTTTTGGTAAAAAGGTCCATAAAATGAAAATATTTTGTAAAAACTAAAGTCTTTTTCGAAAAAAATAAATAAAATAGGGCCCAAACAATTAAATTTGAATGTAATAATATTCAAAATATCATTATTTTTGTATAATTTATTAAAAATAGGTCAAAAAAAAATTTTAGCCCTAAAACTTATAAATATATTGGGCTTCATTTTATTTTTCGTGTAGGGCCTCACAAATGCTCGGACCGGCACTGAGTGGAAGAAGAAAAAATACAAAAAAGTCACTAAAAGAGAGTGATGTAGCAAAAATTGAAAGCGTGATAGAATTGGCAATGATAACCAAAAAATTTGAGGTTTCCATTGAGATTCACATTGTGTGTACCCACGCGCTTTGTGTTCCACTTCTTCCTCTTCGATCTCATCTCATAACTCATAAGTCATACCTAATTTAAACAACAACAAAAAAATATTTAAGTCGAATAGTATATCTTAAAATTTTGTTTGTTAGTTACTATGTTGGTTTCAATTTTATGCAGCACGTTCTCTAAGGAGATGTACAAGATTGTATTATTGAAGTTATGAATAAGATACTTTGTGTGGTTTTACCCTACGTTGCATGGAAGCGTCGGTGGAGCTCCGATTCCCGCTTCGGAATCGGAATCAGAAACGGGAGCGGTAGGAAGCGCCAGGAATCGCAAGGGAAGCGCGATTCTCAAAAAGGGCCGATTAGAATCGTTTTGGAATCGTCGATTCTGAGGTGGAAGCGTTTTGGATTCGTTTTGGATTCTGAGTTGGAATCGGCGGCCGTCAAGCTTCATATGGTTTTTAGCCTTGTTCAAAAACGCGGCCAAGGCGGCCGATTTCGCGGCGGCTAGTCGCTCGGCGGCAAGGCACCGCCGGGATTATGGTATAATCGGCTTAAAAATCGGAACTTTTGAAAAAACTTGATTTTTTGTTCTTTTGAAGGTTTTAATTCATATATAGTTGATGGATCTAGCATATCTAGCAATAAACAATAGAAGAAACAAAAAGAAACGATGAAAAATGAAGAAAAAGTTAGGTGGCGGCGGATTTAAAGTTACAGATCTCGTTTTTCAAAGGTTGAAGACGAGGGTATTTGGTCATTCACTATCAATTAAACCTAAAATAAACATAAATGTAACTACGTCTACTCGAACTCGCCACCCGAAAATGAGGAAAAACGCTTTCAACCACTGGACTATCTAACATTATTAATTTCAATCCGCCAGAATAATATATATACAATATATAAGTAAAAAATATTAAAAACTAATCCTCGATTAATCCCCGCTTAATCTCCGATTTTTCGGCTAGGCGCTAGGCCCAGCTTGAGCGCCCGACTAACGCCTAATGATTTTTTGAACAAGGGTTTTTAGGGTTTTGTATCAAAGGTGGAAGATGAGTGAAACGCAACGTTTCACTAAAGGCAGATTTTTAAAAGAATTTTACTGGGCTTGGCCCAAGTTTCTTATTTTTCAACAGCCCATTTGTTCAAACCACTAAAATTATAAAATTTACTTTTCTTATTATGTTTTAATTGTGATTCTGATTTGTAATTTATATACTTTAATCTTTTAATTTTTAGACCAATTCAACTAAAATATCAACAATCTATTATATGAATATATAAAGTATATAAAAATATATATAATATTATATATATATATATATATACGCTTCCAACACGTACCCGTTTCCTAATTTTTTTCAAAAACTCGCTTCTACGCTTCCAAACGCTTCCGCTTCCACGTACCCGCTTCCGATTCCATGCAGCTTAGGTTTTACCATAAATAAATTAAATTATACTTATACGAGTGTTTGCGTCAATATTAAAGACTCGTAGTCCATCTTTAATAATTAAAGTGGTGACCAAAAGTAACAATTAAAAAACAATGACTAGTTGACTTAGCAAAACGATTGTATACAAATCCAAATGTCTACTTTGTATAGAGAAACTAATTAAGGGCGAGTGAAAGTTGTAAGATATAAAACGGTATGTGTTTTGTACTAATTTTTTTTTTAAGCTAGCTTAATGGAACGTACATTGATTCATTTGGGTTGTTGTTGTTTTTTTTTCTTTTCTAAATGGATATTTAGGTTGTTTAAGTCTTTAAAGGAAATCTGTGCCATTATAATTTTTTTCTTTAGATACCAACGACGAGTTGGTGTAGCGGTTAAGTTAGGTTACAGAAAGCGTAAAAATCTGAAAAGTCGGTGGTTCGTTTTGTGAGTTATGAAAATTTTGCATTTGCTCTTCAAAAATGAATTAAATTACATGGTCTGAACACCGTCTTGGAAATGGAAATAGACGTCTCCACGGATCCAAAACTTTCTAATCATAAAAAAATTAGACCCGATTTTTTAATGATCCAAAACATAAAGTCATTAACACTTTTGGTTGTGACCACAATTTTTGTTTGCTTTAGTACTGTGTGATAAGTTGTGACCACAATATTCGAACTCAACTTATTTGAGTGAATACTAATTTCAGAAGATGATCCAAAATATTAAAAGTCATTAACAACAACAAAAAAGTCGATCATTGACTCTAATTAAAATACACATTTCCCTCGAAAACAAAAAAGAAAAGGTGCAAATTCTAAAAGATCAGTCTTATATATATTCAAGCGGAGAAACAAAGAGAGCGAAGGAGAAGAGAGAAATTATGGTGGCTGTTCAGTTATTTACCTGGAAGCCATTGATTCTCCCTTCACGAGTAGATCGATTCGCGTCTTTTAACAGGTTTTTTCTTATAATTCAATTTGCTTGCTTTCATGAATCATGGTGGGTGTGACTTATCCATAAGATTATGGTTATGAAATTTGTGATTGTCAAAGATTTCAACTTTTTATTTGGGTTTTTGTTTCTTTTTCCGGTGAAGCTGTTTTATGTTTGTTTACTGTATAAAATGTAGTAGAGTTTAATGGGTTTTGATTAGAAATGACGATGGTTCTTAATTTTTGGAGTTTTAATGGAAGTTCTGAATCTGGGTTTAGGGTTTAAGTTGGAATTGAATTTGGGACTATAATCCAAAACTGAGTTTTAGTCGGATTGTGTATTTAATGCTTACAATTTTTTATTTTTGCAGGAGCTCGAGTTTAAAGTCTCTACCTTTAGGTGGGATTCAGTCTTTTAGATGCCCAGGTGAGGTTTTACTACAATAAAGGATTTTAATGCAATTCTTTAGGGTCTCATTTTTCATGTTCTTCCTATACTACAGGGACCTTCAAAGTCAAATCTCAGAGGACAGGAGACACAGAGCAGTCTAGTGTTAACCTGAATGATTTTAATTCCAAATTCCTTAAGGTGAAGCTAAACCATGTCCAGTGTCATGTCTTTATCCTTTTTTTCTTGGTCCTGTACTGTGCAGAACAAGTCGAATAATCTGTTCCTTTCGTGTTTAAGAAGTTCTAGACTGCACAACGTTCCGTTTTTTTTTTTTTCTTTTTCCATCTGATGATTATTCTGATATCTTATATACACCCGTTTTTTTGGTTTGAAGGATGAGTCTTAGGTAATTGTGTTTACTGGTGTATGTAATGTCTTTCAATGTGTTTGCTTCTTGGATAGTTCTCGCGCTTAAATATTTCGTATCCTTAAGATATATCTTCTTAATCTGCAGAGTCTTCCATATAAACTGGTGGTAGGATGCATCCCACTGTATGTGGTGTTCAGGATAGCGCAAA